TTAGAAGCAGGATAAGCTTCTGAGAGAGTGGGTTGCAGCAGTAGCAGTAGCAGTAGCGGCAGCGGCAGCAGCAGTAACCTCAGATAATAACGGCAATGACCTGTATCAGCCGCGGCGGCAGCAGCTGCAGCATCCGTAGATAATAACGGCAAAAATCCTGTATCAAAGCCACGGCAGTAGAATATGTTGTAGCTGTTTAATGTTTCAGTAAGAGAAGCGAAGTGAAGAGAGATGACAAAGTACATGAAGCAGCAGCAGCACGGCAGCAGTAGCAGTATGAAGCAGCAGCGGCGGCAGCAGTAGCAGCAGCAGCGGTAGCAGTACGAAGCAGCGGAAGCAGCATTAGCAGGAGCAGCAGCACCACAATGCGAGTCATACGAACAACAGACGTGTCACGCCAGCGTGCGCCGCTTGTCTCCGTGAGCCAGGTTACGTACGTGTTTGAAAGAGCCGAGCCGTAGAGACAGGTGCAGCCTGGGAGCCTGCGGAGCGGCAGCGGCAGGAACAGCAGCAGCGGCACATGCAGTAGTAGGAGCAGCAGGAGCAGGCAGCAGGGACAGACAGCAGCAGGAGCGGCAGCAGGAACAGCGGCGGCGGGATCAGGCATCAGTAGGAACGGCGGCGGGGACCGGCAGCAGCGGCGGTCAGAGAACCGTGCCCATGGTTGTTTAACAGTCTGAGGGAAAAAAAAAAAATCGACCCGAATCCGAAACATCCCATGCGAATAACAGACGTTCCCTGGAGCCATCTGCTGCTTTGGTTATGGCAGATACGCATGAACGATCACTGATCCATGCGTTCATAGCTCCAACACCACTTCACACCCATTGCAGATTCATGTTGGGCCCTTTTTCTTTCTGCTGCACTTTCAAAATGCGACAACTGCAGTTTAGTTACCTAATTTAATACCAGCGACCTAGCGATTTAAATGCATGGTTTTACTGCAAGTGGCAGAACATGAATCTGAATTAATGCACATAGCTCCTCGTATATCCCTCAGACGATAGAGATTGATGCCATTTAATATGCATTGCCCCTCGGTTAGCTCAGACACATGTGAAAACGGAGCCTGCAGACCAAGCACGGGGCGAAAAAACTGACGCCTGCAGTCAAGTGCGCGGGGCAAAAACCAATCGCCTGCAGCCCAAAACTCCGGGATTAATCTGTCCGCGGTCAGCACACACTCACTGTACTCACATGCCAGGAGACTTGGGAAAAGCAACGGGACAACGCGGCACCGCCAATCGAGGCAGGGACACGCACGGCACCGCCAGACCGTCTGCGCGCGGCAGCAGACCACGAGGAACGAGCAGCACGGAACCCGCGGAGGGCCCCGCGGAGCAGCCCGCAGAAAGAGCCCGCAGAGGAGGAGAGCAGTGGAGACATGCGAACCACAGCAGGTGCAGGGACGCGGAGGAGGAGCAGACCACAAGCAGCCAGACGGAGGACGCCAGGGTCGCGCCGAGTAGCGTGAGTAGACGAAAACGATTCCTCCAGACGATTCTCTGCAAGGCTTCGAGGGCTTGCGAGGCTTCGGGAGGCCGTAAGTGGGAGTTTCTCCGCTTTTAAGCGGCTGGCCTGTCCGGCACGGTGTGATTGGAAGGGGGCGTTTGCTGTGCGATAGGCTGGGGATGCGAGTCGGCCCAGAGGGGGTAGCTTTTGGCTGACGTCTTCTAAATTGAATTTCCGCGGGCTGCATAACAGTTTACTTGTATCATGAAATGCCAACGTGAAAATTCTTAAAATCCTTGTTTTCAGGTTGCTCCACTGCATTACTCTAGCCTGAAACACATGCCCCGCCCCTTTGGCCCAGTGGGCGTCTGATTAGCCCAGGACAATGGCCCTCATTTATGAAACTTGCGCAGAAAAGGGTGTATATTATTGGTGTCGATTCCATATGTGTAAGACCCAACGCAGGATTTATGAACGTGTGAGATCTGCCCAGATCTGAGCGGTTAGTTAGTAAATGCCGCGGTGAAAACTAGCGTATTAATAAAAGTCACGCCTATAAATATTCAGAAACCGCCTGTTTTTACGACAGGTCAGCATGGAACTCGGCCAGAAAGACTGTTTGGCTGCAGGGTCTACCACAGATTTACGGAGTTAGTAAGTGAATAGAAGTGTATTTGTATAGCGCCTTTCACACACCAGGATCACAAAGCACTTCACATTCAAAAAACCTACAGATGAAAATAATACGCACAGGTCAGATTTAAAAACGAAGGAGCAGAAGAGGGTCCTCATCATGAACTGTGATTTATTCGAAGTTTGCGTGTTTCCATTGACATTTTCTGATGCGCAAATTCAAATTTCAAAATGTGATTCTCAATGAAAACGCAGCTTATAATTTTGCCAGTGTGGGAATATGTTTATTGTTGGCCAAATCGTGTTGTGATGAAGGTTGAAATGAGCGTATACACATTTACACCACTTACAGACTTGCCGTATATTCTGTGCATACCGTACTCCCACGTCCAGATTGATAAATGCCGAAAAATGTTAATTTTCTGCGTATGCCTCATTAAACACCCTGATTTAGCCGTATGCAAGTTTCATAAATGAGGGCCAATGTCACTTACTCCACCGTGAAGCACCACAGGAATCTGCAGTCAGAAAATTAGTGTTTTTTCGAGTGTAACACCAGAGGGAGGTGTTTCACCATTTGTGATCATCATGTGACCATTGTACACGTGAATGCATAGCTTTTACTTGAAGCCTATTCAAAACACAATAAACGGTTGGCTCAATCACTAGTGTCTATCTATACTGTGTGTGTGTGTGCGTGTGTGAGTGAGTGTGATACTGCGATAGAAATGTTTTGATTGTACCAGCATTCATGACTTCTGCTAAAACATGGCACATGACATATTTTCTTTTTAAGACTAATGTTTATTGTGCCCCCACTGAAAGATCCTGTGGACTCACCACCTGCAGGAGGATCAGTGAGGGGCTGGTGCTCTGTGTACTGGATGCAGCTCTGACTGCCACCCCCCCGACCCAGAAATGGATTAAGGGGAAGAAAATGGATGGATGGATGGATGGTTTATTGTGCTGATGAAATACATGAATTTAAATCCACCAAATACACACAGAGACTAAACTCTCATGTATACAGCAATTTGGACCTTTCACATTCGGAACCCGTCACACACAAGCGTGTATACAGACACCAGGGCCCAGTGACTTGCCCAGGGAGACCCGACATCAATGGGAGAAGGCTTTGCACATGCAATTTTGTCACACTCTGTCTCAATTGTGTGCTGTCCTCCTCCCTGCGCGTGAACTTCACAGACTAATAATTTTCTTTGCCATTATGGTGCAATAACCATGTGAACTAACTGACCTCATCTGGCCTGTCTCATTTGCTTGCAACCCCCTCCCCACCTGGGGGTCTGGATCACCAGCCTCAGCCCTGGATCTACACACACGGTCCTGGATCTACAGCCTCGATCCTGGATCTACAACCGCGGTCCTGGATCTACAGCCTCAGTCTGGGATCTACAGCCTCGTCCTGGATCTACAGCCTCAGTTCTGGATCTGTAGTGTGTTTGTCTTCTATATGGGCGTACACCAAAGTTCTCAAATTCTGTCCACTGGGTTTCTAAGTGGTTCCTTGCAAAGGCTCTTCAGGAAAGTAAGGATCCGGGACATTTAAGGACATTTGATTACATTTCTGGGCAGTGCTCCTCCCGTGTTTTCTTTTTCTATGTTCGAATCATTTGATTCTCTGACCTATTTTGTATTTTGTAAAATCCTCTTTGATGACTGCTGTTGTGATACAGCAATACCTTGTATTAAATTGAATGAGCGAATACTATTATGGCATAACAACACTGCCATAATCAGGCATAAAACATCTGAAAACTTCCCATGAAATGGTTACATCATGTGTCTGCACAAAGCTGGCTCTTCAACATGTCTTAGTAATACAAAGACTCCAATAGTATACAGAAGGTTATAAAATGTATTCAAACACCCATCAGTACACAGGACTGGGAACACTAATGCTTTACACAAACAGACACTATATTTGACCTCTCCAACACACAAGGGGTACCTCCTGCATGCTGTCAGTGTCCTTTTTCCTTTTCAGACAATGAGTTATACATGTGCACCTGCATTTCTCCTATGAGGGATCAGTCCTACTTGGTCCTGCTCTACTCTACTCCTGTCTACCTGGTTGAACTTCCATTACACTCTGTTGTTGGAAAATTGACAATTTTGTTAAGTCAGTGGAAATGCTCCCAAACAGGGTGGAGTAGAGTAGAGTAGGGCCAAGAAGGGCTGGTAGAAACAGGCATATATATCCATATTATTATGTGTATATTTTAAATTGATACAAGCATGTGTTGTGTTTTTGCATGCATGTGCACATAAGCATATAACATATTGTGACATCACTGGTCTATGTAACTAATTATTGCTCTACTCCTTGTCTAGGCTAACACTAGAAAATGCTCACAAGGAGTTAGGAGTATAACGTGATGAAGTGTTCACACAAATGGACAGACAAACTCTCAGTAAAACTTCAGTTATGAAAGACTGAAACTGAAGGTCTCATGGTAAAGTTTTCCTTATTTGGCACTCCTGGTGTATTTTCGATATTGTATTTGTAATACAATTGGGGGCGACATTAGCTCAGTTGGTAGAGCATTGGCCTTAAGGCCAGAAGGTCGTGGGTTCAATTCCCACCTCTACACTTTCTCCACCGACTCCCACTGATGACTGCTGTCGTTGTGTCCTTGGGCAAGACACTTAACCCCACTTTGCCCAAAGCCCCCGCTGAAAGATCAAGGCTATGCTCACACTCAGAGAGCAGCCGTCCTCCTGTGGACTCACCACCTGCAGAGGGTCAGTGAGGGGCTGGTGCTATGAGACTTGGGTGGCATCTCTGACTGCCACCCCCCTGACCCAGAAATGGATTAAAGGGTAGAAAATGGATGGATGGATATTTGTAAATTGTCTCCAATTTCAGATTCAGCAGCAAATCTTTTGAGTGGGAAAAGACAAGTGCCGCTCATTTAGCTGCAGATTTCATTGAGCCTGTTTGGGTAAGCTCTAATGGGCCTCTACTGCATTTGGCAAAGACTATGGGCGACATCAACACTCAATAGAGAGAGAATCTGGTCCAGAGCGACACAGAGCCTCTCTCCTCTGACTTTATAGTGTATCTGTATTCTTAGTGTTGGTTTTTTTTTCAAAATTTATAAATTTATTCTTTATCTGTTCAAGTACCCTTGAACCTTGATTTACAAGAACTACTACAATATCAGATATTCCAAAATGACATCCCTGAGGTACGGATTTGTAGACGAGAGTTGCCCAACGTCTCGTGCAGATTCTATGTCCAACGGCCCGACGTTGGACAGAAAACGTGCGAATATCTGGAGGGTCGGGTGTGCATACTCAATGACGCTGTGCTTCAATCCCTCATACTCGTAGACGAAGCCTGCCGAGTGTATGCCCACCACTCTGCCATTGGCGTCCATTAGCGGCGAGCCAGACGAGCCGTGGAACATACAGACAGTGTTGTAAGTAATGACCTCCTCCGAACTCCAGATTTCGTTTATGCCGGACTCTACTGCTTCTTTAACGATGATCATTCGTGCAGATTCGTCGTACGGCTCCAGGTGTTGGTTGGCTGCGGCTTCCCTTTCCTTCTTCCCGATGATATATGTGAGATCTATTTTCTTCACCTGATCGCCTGGATGCCCGATGATACAAGCCCCTCCTGCATTTGGTTTGGGCCCAAAATAAGGCAAGAGTCCGGGGGGCATTGGTTTGGCACCTCTTTTCAAACGCAGAACTGCATAGTCCATCTCCTTGTCCAAGTCTATCACTCCACTGTAAGCCTCATACATCAGAAGAACTTCACTTTCAATCAGGTTATTTTCATGATTGAACAAAGCTTTGACTGATACGGCCAATGTTTTGCCGTCTTCCAAAAGGGCATTTTCTAATAAATGTGCGTTCGTCATGATGAAATCGCCGGCGAGCATGAAGCCGGAGCCTTGGCATATGTCCCCGACATACAATGCACACACAGAGTCACCTAAAGTTATCAGCTTCTTCAGGCGAAACACCTCGCTGAACTCCTGATGGAGCTTTTCGAAGTTTGCGTTTTTCAGAGCGTATTCAAAGGCGCTGCCCGGAAACTGCCTTGATGTCCACTTTCTCAGCTCTGGGTTGTGTCTGCGCAGCGAGCTAAAAACCGTATCGGGGTCTTGAGTTTGCAATAGTGTTGTAACACGAACGGCTCTGGTCTTTGGGATCAGTACAGGGACCTTCAACAATGAGGAGCTCCATGCACCATCCCCTGATCTATTCTGAGAAACAGCCTCAGATTCGAATTGCAAGGCCTCAAACATGGTGGACGAGTGCCAAATAGTTTCAGGTTTTCTTGTTTGTGTAGTAGTTGGACGGTCTCTTGTTTGTGTAGTAGTTGGACGGTCTCTTGTTTGTGTAGTAGTTGGACGGTCTCTTGTTTGTGTAGTAGTTGGACGGTCTCTTGTTTGTGTAGTAGTTGGACGGTCTCTTGTTTGTGTAGTAGTTGGACGGTCCCTTGTTTGTGTAGTAGTTAGACGGTCTCTTGTTTGTATGGTAGAGGGACGGTCTCTTGTTTGTGTAGTAGAGGGACGGTCTCTTGTTTGTGAAATGGTTGGTGGTTTTCTTGTTTGTGTAGTAGTAGTTGGACGGTCTCTTGTTTGTGAAATGGTTGGTGGTTTTCTTGTTTGTGTAGTAGTAGTTGGACGGTCTCTTGTTTGTGAAATGGTTGGTGGTTTTCTTGTTTGTGTAGTAGTAGTTGGACGGTCTCTTGTTTGTGAAATGGTTGGTGGTTTTCTTGTTTGTGTAGTAGCAGTTGGACGGTCTCTTGTTTGTGTAGTCGTCGACCAGTCTCTTGTTTGTGTGGTCATTGGGCAAAATCTTGCTGTGTTGGTTAAAAGATTTGGATTCAGACTAGGCGCACTCACAGTATAGCCTTGTGAACCGGTGGAGTAGCCGGAGTTCCCCTGTCAGGACCACATGACACATGAAGGACAGAATGACAAAAACCATACAGAATTTCAAGTTCATGAAAGATTTTTTCATAGTAGTTTTTGTCCTCAAACATGATGTTGGAATTACAATGTATTTCATTTAACGAGGGAAATTCTATTAAGATAAAAAGCTAAACACGGCTAACTAATCTGCCTCAGACATTGCAGAGATTTGTCTCAAAATCGCTCAAAATTGTCTTAATACATGTAGCCTCAAAAGTTAGCTGCAGAATCCTAATCTGTTCATTGGTGCACAAGCTGCGCAACAAACTATGCTCGCATTAGTGCCCCCTACACGTACACTTTGCCAAACCAACCTTGGCCGTTATGCCAACAGAGCTCAAATTTGTTCCACATACTGTGAACTAGTGTAGTGTGCAGTGCAACGGCATTGCGTGGTGCGGTGGTGTTGCGGCATTGCGCTGTTCGGCAAGGGTCGTTGGACGCCGCTTGCGGCTTTATTTACTATTGTTTTTTTCTGGTCACACCTCTATTGCTGAAGCACAATATCAACCATCTTTAAATGTGAAACCATAGGATGCTGCTGACTAAAGTGTATGCTCCCCAAGTGACATATTCTGCAATTATAGCTATTATTTATTTAGCTAGTCTGTGATTTCCTGTCTCCATTTATTCGGCTGTATTGTGCAAACTATGCCATTTAAATCTCCCCTCCTGAGGACAAATAAACTTTTATCTCATCCAAATCCTCTTTAACCCATCTCACCTTTGGTTGACAAGAGTCCGCTTCCAACAAGACGGTTTTCTGTAAAAGAAAAACTTTAAGTAACTTTTCAAACAAGGTGTTTTCACCCCCGGAGCTTCCAGATTGGTTAAAATTAATGTCAGTTTTGCCAAGGCAGTTTAAATACTGTATATAATTGTTGAAAAATACTTATTTTATGACCAGTGTCCCATGGTCATTAATATATTTTTGGTTACTGACAACATAAATGTAAAGCATATGGCTTCATGGGCATACTGTATGTCCATGAAGCAAGAGTTTGTGTGCAGGAAAGGCAAATATGGATAGTGATTGTGAATGCATGAACTGACGTGACTCTGGTGGGTGCGCTGCCTAAATTAAGGGGTAAACCAGTTTTTTGCTGTAGGGCCCCTTGGCTGAAAGCAAACGGTTAAACCAGTCCTGCTGAGGGGTCTAAAGAAGTGTAATGAATGAGTGTTTGATCAGAACTTCTTCCTCTAGTCAACCATAATGGTTTACAGCTATAGATATAGATGTTCATCAAACAGACGTAAGTATTATCGCTTAACAAATTTAACCTGAAAGTCAATATACATTTTTAGAATCATTCGCAACACATAATTTTAACCACTAGGCGGTGGTAGAGTACAGGAAAGCGCAGTGACTCACCGAGCCGCTGTAGGCCATGATTCAGGAAGTCTCCAAAGCCACAGGAGAGCAACACTGTTGTGGAAGGAGGAAAACTTATTTGTATAGAATATTTATATACAGTTCCTCTCAAAAGTATTAACACAACTTGAACTTTTGCTAAAACATTTCATGTTTACAACCATAAACATAAAGATGTTATTATGTTTATTTAAAGTTTACACTCAAGTAACAACTGGGAAGTGAAAGCAAAATGATACTTGATCCTGTTATTATTTTAAAAATAGAAAAGTGAAAAGTTGGGCCTTTACATGTTTGGAGTGCATTAAATTGCAGTTAAATCCTTTCTAATGAATAAATAGAGGCCTCTTGAGTGTAATCTACTCTCGGTATAAATACGGATGTTCTGTGAGGCCTCAGAGCTATGGTTGGATTGGTCAAAGTGCGGCCGAGCCCCCCTGTGCACGTGCATGAAAGCCACACACGCGTATTTGGCGCAACGCATCGTGGGAGCTCGTCCACTGCGCAGAACCGGGAGGACCAGACGATGCCCAAATATAGGCAAGTTCTGCTAATCTCCCGGTCTCTGTGAAGTCCCATGCGTTACTGAGCACAAGCCATTCATTTGAATAGGGCTCCATCTTGGATCACCGGGGCTTGGGTAGGAGGGAAAAATGATCACGCATATGTTTCAACCAGTGGGGGCGGGGCGGGTCCTTAAATGGTGACTGGTTAAGTTAGGCATCTGAGTAAGATGGTTAAGGTTAGGGGTAAGACTGGGTTGGGGTTATTTTATGGGAATGGCTGATTAAGTTTAGGCATTAATAGGTAGTTTGTTATATTCACTTCCACTTCCGTCCCGATTCCGTTTATGATCTAGTGCTGACCCCAAAATGACGTGCGCCGACATGCTTGCGATACCACCCCGGGCCGATGGGGGTCGACCATAGACTGTATATATTAATGGACGTAGTCACGCCTATCTCTGCCGTTCCAACTAATGGGCCAAAAATTGGGCTTTCATGAAGTGATTCAAAATGGCCGCGGGGGTAGGAAAATTTGAAAAAAAACGCATCTGCACTATGCGTCAGCCGGCACGAGCCCCATTCATTTAAACGAGTGGACTTAAAAAATTCACAGCGAGTAAACTAGACTGGTCCATCCTGTAAAGGTGTTTTCGAGAGGTAAGAATTTGCTATATGTTAGCATTGGCGAATTCTTATTCCAGGTCCACCCCCATTGGCCCGGGGCGGTATTGCAAGCATGTCAGTGCATGTCATTTTGACCACTTTTGAGCCGGGACCCGCCCCCACTGGGGGTGAGTTTTTGAAGGCACTCATTAAATGAATGGGGCTGACGCATGCGCAGATGTTTTTTTTTCACAATTTTCTTGGAGGCAGGACCACTCGCGGCCATTTTGGATGGCTCCAGTTGAGCACACGCCCCGGCGATCCAAGATGGCGCCCTATTTAAATGAATGGTTGGGCTCAGTGGCGCTTTGTGACGGCATGGGGGCTGAAAGATTAGCCGAAGTCGCCTGGAACTTGCAAAGATCTATGGGAAACTTGCAAAGATCTATGGGAAACTCGCCTGTATTTGGGCATCGTCTGGTCCTCCCGGTTCTGCGCAGTGGATGATCTCCCATAATGCGTTGCGCCAAACACGCGTTTGTGGGTCTCACACCGGGTCTCACGCACGTGCACAGAGGGGCTCGGCGGCGCTCTGACCAATCAGAGCAGTTCATCAGAGCGGGAGTTAGAGCGGGAGTTAGAGCGAGAGTTAGAGCGAGAGTCAGACGGGCAGACTTTGTGGCACTAAAGTGTGGATTGAAAGAAAACCGAAGGATTTAAGAAGAAAAAAGGTTCAGGATGACAAGGGACACTAAAATCCCCACAAAATGCAAGCTTTATTAAAGCTGTAGGTTCTCTGTCAGCTGAGGTTGCGCTATTTTAATATGCATAGAGTTCTATGGGGAAAATTTCTGAGTAGCCCACGTGAATTTAGTCTGGTCTAGTCTGCAGTACCGCGAGAATCCCCCGAGCACATGAGTTCTTCAGCTCCGAGCTAGTAATACCCTATCCAGTTATTATAATAGATCCATGGTATATTTACAGTCTATGGTTTCAACGGCAGAGATAGGCATCACTACGTCTGTTAATATTTAAAGTCTTTGGTAGAGTCATACCCCAAAAGACTTGATGCTGTTATCACAGCAAAAGGGGATTCCACAAAGTATCAACTTTAGATAATATAATCATGTTTCATTTTACTTTCACTTTACAGTTGTCTGTTAGTTGTGTGTGAACTTTCAGTAAACAAAATCTAGATAAAAACTTTATGTTTATAGTTGTAAACATGATAAAATGTTCAAGCTGTATAATACTTTTGAGAGGCGCTGAATACATAGCACATACTGTATAAATACAGGCGAAATGTGAGGTCTGTAACACAGGTGTGATCTGTGACATTGATAGAATATGTTGAACAGCAGACCCCTGTATGTATGTATGTATATTATATTCTTTACTTTCCAATATTTCAATACTGGTCTGTATTATACTAATATATATGAATAATGTATTGTATGCACTCTTTGAATGAATAAAAAAGGGTTCTGTCGTTTCCTCCTTTACCAACTTCTACACATGGATTTACTTTAGTAACTTCCTGCCTAGAGGGAAGTAGTATGTTCAGTCAACTAGAACTAAGCTTGATAAACAGCTACAGATAACCGTGAAAAGATAAGACAATAAACAAAAAACAAAAACGACAGTCAATGCATCAACGAGGCGTGAAAATGAGGAAGAAAGCAACTGTATTTGTATATTTATGGAGAATAGAAACGGTTAGAATGTAATGAGCGAGATATAAAGTGATAATAAAAAGCTGGTTGGGTTGGATTTGCGTTCTCCAAGCATTTTACAAACTTTTACTTCACAAAGTTGCCGATCAGAGAATAAAACAGTTTTACAATGATAAGAAACACATAGAAGCGATTGGTCATCCACGATGACAATAAACCCGCCTCCGTTAACTCTCTTGCACATTCAGTTATATATATTTAGTTTGGTTCGTTTTGGTCCAGATCTTCTGAAGTAAACACGTACGGGACTTACGGTGCAGATGTCCGGGACAGCAACAACCAGGCACCGCGTTCCGCTGTTCGGTTTTCCTGTAATTTCACATTTGAGAGATAAGAAGGAAACTCCACCTCTGGCACCGCCCGGGGCTACGTCCAAATTCACAGAAACAAACTTCCTTGCTCATCCTTTATGCACTCGCTTCCTTCACTTTGTTCCGTTTGTAGAGGGATGAAAAATGTCTTGGAAATTAGTGTAACATATGGACCAACCTTAAAACTGCTCTTGTTTTAAAGAACACGTAAGGATAAGGAGGGAGGAGTATAATTTTTCAATTCGGATGAAGCCATCTTTAAACACAGCTGGTTCTTCTCCTGCTCCTCCTGCCATGGAAATGAAACATTCTTCTTCATGCTAGAGTTAGAGATTTTCTGTTTTATTGCTCATTTATCTTGTGCTGTGTGCTACTCATTTCATACTGCTCTGAAACTGCTGAATCAATACTGAAATTTCCCAACTGTGGGACAATTAAAGGGTCTCTTAATCTTAAACTCAGGTGGAAACATCACGCAGAATGTTGAATCATCCAGTAAAAGTAAAGAGAAAATATTGAAAATAAGCACGAATTATAGATAAAATATTGCTGTCAATATTAGATTCTAACAATGCTGCAGTTATTGTAAGAGTTTAAACTGACTTTAAAAATATATATTGTAAATCACAATTGTATTGTTAATGGGTTAGCATTTTAACTTTACGATTGCCTATTTAATACGCTTTTGTTTTGGTAACCTGTCCAGAGGGCAGCATTATTTCAAACGCTGAATTAGCTTGACAAACAGCTACAGTTAAGACAACAGACAACTACAGTGAAAAGTAAAAAAAAACTAAGCGACTGTCAATGCGGGATAAAGGCGTGTCATAAACAGCTGTTTGAGAGCCCAAACATTAGTATCTGAGTTCTCTGACGACTTTGCGATCATCGGAATCATCACAGTAGATGACGACGACGCAGAGTACTGAGGTCAGGGAACCACCTCCTTTTCAACGAGGGGAAGACGGAGATTGTGGTGGATTTCCGCAGACGACACTCTGCCGCACCAGCCCCAGTGACAGCCCCACTGTCCTGTATGTGCACTGCAACATCACTGAAGTCATGCAAACACAAAGTAAAACTGAAGGAATGGACACAATATGACTTCTATCGTGGCAGAAATTATAACTTATAATTTAATCACATATTGAATTTGAAGATTTCAGGATGGTTAACATTAGTTGTGTTGTCAGGTCACATGGAAAACTGAGGTTGTATTTCTCTGAATGAGATGTTTTTTTATACAGAGAAATGACAAATACATTTAAGGAAGCTATACCCGCTTCATTCTCTAATGAGTTCTTAAAAATGATTATTACTACATACAAGTTGTATTAAAATCCGTAATTGAATTGAAAACTTGAGCTCATGGATTCAGCTCGTGTATGAATTCCGGCCGTAGAAACTAGAGTAGAAACTTACGCTAGCTCTCCTCCAATCACAGAACGAAGAGCGGAAGAAGTTGCACTTATGCTAATGTTTGCGTACGTATCAGATCACAATTAAAACTAGGTGGCTCCGTGGGAGGAGAGCGTAGGGAGTTGTGAGCGAGTTGCGGGGCGGTGCTAAACATTCAAACTGAAAAAACCCTTGCATAAAGGGGTATAGCTCCTTTAAGACTAATACACTAATTACTACTACTATTTACTAAACTTTTTTGCCAGATTACAAATTGTGGATTAGTTTAAAAAATATATTATTTCAGGAGCTTGAAAAATCAGAGACCACAAAAACTTAAAATCCTACAAATGCTCCTTTTATGGACACTCTTACAGCTGCTCCCTCTTCTGGACGCTCTTACAGCTGATTTTCTTACGGCTGCTCGTACAGCTGCTCTTGTGGATCACCCCCGCTGTTCCTCAGGAGATACTCAGCCTAAAATCAGAGCATGTATTGACTTCAACGTACGTCACATGGGCAGATATTTGGGCTCAAGGTCAGACAGATACCAGGAAGTCCACGGGGTCCTCGGGTCTAGCCCTGGTGCACTCCGTCATGGCCTCGGACAGCTGTGGCATCACAAACTTCATCAGATACGTGCGAAGAGGCAGGGACTGAGCCGAGAGAAGCTGCTGCTGCTGATGCTGCAGCTCACACAGGTTCTGCCTCTGAAACCATTCAAATACACACAAGTTACACACTTAGAAAGTACTATCTGGCATTATTTTAGGTCATTTGTAGGTCCCTAGTTGTGGAATTCGTCATGTTGTGTCCAGTTAAAAAAGCTCTTCTACACTGTAAAAAATACAACTCAAAATTGTTCACCTTACTAAGATTTTTGCATTCACTGACAATAAAATTGCCAGTTGGAACTGGAACTGTCTGTTGTGAGCAACTTGAACTAACTTTCAGAAGTTTCTGATGAAAAGTTCATCTTATTTGATATATTAAGTTGATTTTACTTTGAAGTTGTTGTGAACTTCTGAAAGTGAGTTCAAGTGGCTCACAACAGACAGTTCCAGTTCCAACTGGCAATTTTATTGTCAGTGAATGCAAAAAACTGAGTAAGGTGAACAATTTTGAGTTGTCGTTTTTACAGTTCACCGAGCTCGAGTGAGGTCAACTTATCTGCGTTTGCTCATTTAAATATTTGTCATGGCAACCAGCTGCATTCAACATTTTGAAAAAAACTAATTTGACCAAAAAAATCATTGTATTTATTTTTACCAACCGTAATCGACAGGGCCAAGCCAAAGTAGCCCTATATATTCCCTGGGTCAGTCTTAGAAACATTAGTTTTGACCACTAATCGGGTCCACAATGTATTTGAATTTGTATTTTTATTTATTTGATCTCCATTAGTTGTAACAAGTACATCTATTCTTCCTGGAGTCAGTCCAGCATGCTGGTCACAAAACATGTTTTACACCAGTTTTCACCAACAAGTGATAAAATAAAAGACACCCCCCACCCCCACCCACACACACACAACATACATTCTTACATACACACGCAACTGTATAAAGGACCTAGAAATATTCTGACAAAAAACAAAAAAAGGAGATTAATCTGACTCTTAGCAGCAAAACATTTGGTCACATAACACAACTTTATAAAATCAACCAGTAACATGAAACAGATGTCTTTTCAGAAGGGCCTTAAATTGGTACTTACTGTTTGCATGAGTAATGTCACTGGGCAAAGTGTTCCAACCATACATAGTTCTATACATTACAGTATTTCTTCCATTGTTAGTTCTTACTTTCGGCAGTTTAAATCTGCCCTCTGTGGCATGTCTGGTTTCATAATGATGCTCTTCCAGACTAAAATTTAGCTCTCTGTACAATACATTTGGAACTTTACTTTTAATTATGTTTCTGGTTACATTCATTAAGGAACCAGTGAATCTCTCTTTCACCTTGAGCCAGGACAGTTTGTCATGCATCCAGTTTACATTTGTTCTGATGGAACACCGAAGAGCACAGCGTGCTGCTCTATTTTGGACAGTTTGTAAAGTCCTTACCTTTGTTACTGCAGCACATGACCATATTATTGAGCAGTAATCTAACTGTGACAATACCAGGGTTTTTAAAACATCTGCAGTCATACTGGAAGACAACATATGACAACATCTTCTAACCACAGCGAGGCCCCTCCCCATTCTACTGGCCACCGTATTGATATGCTTTGACCAAGACAACTCATTATCAAGTTCAATACCAAGCAGTCTGGTCTGTGGCACCTGCTCCACAGCTACGTCTCTGATGACAAGACTCAATTTGGGTTCATCCAGCAGCATATGTTTTGTTCCAAATACAATACTTTTTGTTTTGCTAATGTTCAGAACTAGCTTGTTGTTGGTAACCCACTCATATACTAATTTTAATTCCCCCCTTAAAATAATTTCCAGCTCTTCAACCGTATTTTGTGATGAATAAATAGTTGAGTCGTCGGCATACAATGCTATTTTTGATTTTTGTAGTACTAGTGGCAAGTCGTTTGTAAAAATAGAAAACAGGAGAGGTCCAAGGCAGCTTCCTTGAGGTATACCACAGCCAATTGTTTTTACGTCTGAGAAGCTTCCATTGAAAAATACAGTTTGTTTCCTGTTTTCTAAATACTTCTCAAGCCACAGTGATGCTGCTGGACTGAACCCATAACATTGCATTTTATTCAGCAGAAGGTTGTGATCTATAAGATCAAAAGCTGAGCTGAAATCCAGCAACACAGCTCCTGCTAACCTTTTATTGTCTAATGCTGCCAACCAATCGTTTGTCATCTGAGCCATAGCTGTTGCAGTCGAGTGACCTGCTCTGTATGCATGTTGGAAATCTGTATTGAGGTTGTTATTAGAAAAATATTGTTGAATTTGATCAAATACAATCCTCTTCATAATTTTGCTCAGAGCAGGCAGCAAACTGATTGGTCGACTATTAGGACCACAGAATGGAACCCTAGTATTTTTTGGTAAAGGCACAATGTATGCGGCACGGTGGTTGAGTGGATAGCATTCTCGCTTCTTGACGCGAAGGGTCCTGGGTTTGAATCCCGGTCGGAACAGGGCCTTTCTGAGTGGAATTTGCATGTTCTCTGTGTCTGCATAGGTTTCCTTTATGGGAGCTCTGGTTTCCCCTGCCCAAGTAACCTTGGTCTGCAAAATGCGCTATATAAATAAACATCATGATGGTTTAATGTGGGGGCTAATTTAAACTCAAAATAGTAAGTTATTGTAGGGGACAGTAATCTGAACTTAAAAAAGTAAGTTTTTACAAAATTTAAATTTCCAGTAACTTGAATTTAAAAACTTAGTTGGCAGAACTTGGAAAACTTAGCTGACACAACTTAATAAGTGTACTTCTTCAAAACGTGAAGAATTAAGTTAATGCCTTCAACTCAAAAATCCTTCGCAGCTGGTTGCTTTGAAATTTTGAGTTGGACTAACTTTTTCTGTTTTACAGTGTATCTGCTGTCGTCAAGGAACTCCTAATAAGAGAGTGGATTGAGTTAATAACAGCTCCAGGTCTGTTTCTGTAGAGGTTAAAGGAAGCAGCCCATGTGTCGTAAGCCCAGTTCTCACCCAGTGCTCGTAGTGCGCCGCCATCTCTGCCAGAGTGGCTTGGTTCTTGCGTCTTTTCTCTGCATATTCACACTCCAGTTTGATCCTCTCCTCCTCCTCCTGCCTCGCTCTCTGGGCCTGGATCTCAACGTCACTAGGACCGTAGTTTTTAGGTTCTCCAACCAGCTCCACGATCATCTTCAGAACTGCAGCGTTCTCAGGATCACCTGCAGCGACATCTAGAGACACGCACATGTGACCAGTGCACCTGACCGGCCTTTTACAATAATAAAGTGTCATAAATTGTTTATTACTAGTTACTAGGATGAGAATGTCTTTGGATTACAACATCACAGAGCTAAATCGTTTACTTTTGAATGTGCTGGAAAACGGCAGCAAGTCTTAAATAGCTGTCAAACTGTTTTTATGAAAAAATATTTTTCTTGCTGTTTTCTATCCGAGATGTTGCTGAAGTACAGTGTTCATGGTTTTGCACTGGTCCAGACCGGAGCGGAGAGGATTTATGGTCTGAACCAAGCGGACCTAAGTCTAGACACAAAGTCAAAACGTGTGTATTTTCAGAAACGTTTTCTGTAAACCCAGAGTCAGCTCAGTAAATACTTGTGTCCACATGAATGAAGTCAATACACCTGAAAACGCTGGTAAACGGGGCCATCCTCCTGAGGGACTTACCACTTGGAGGAGGATCAGTGAGGGTCAGGTGCTATGAGAATTGGGTGGCTAGTCTCTCTTTCAGACCAGAGAGAGAGAGACCAGAAAGAAGTATTCTCTCTCTAATCTCTCTCTGGTCTCTCACTGGTCTCTCTTCATTCTCTATCTGGTCAGTCTTTGGCCTCTGCTGCGTGTTGGCTGTGTGTTGGTTGTATGTAAGTTGTGTTGGTTATGTGTTGTTGTTGTGATTTCACACCGATATGCTCAGGGTAGATCTCCAGTTCTTCAAAGTAGTCAATGAGGGTTTCGTCGGCTGTGCTAAGGCGTCTGTGCGTCTGCAGCTGCGAGGCGAAGGTGTGTGCCGTATACAGCTGTTCCTGCCACTGCTGCACCTGCTGCTGCTGCTTCTCCTTCTGCTCTTGCTGGTGCCTCTGCTGCTGCTCCTGCTGCTGGGTGGCAGCGTTTGCGACACACTGCAGTCTTTGTGTGAGAACGTCGTCCGCAGCATCCAGCACAAATACGTTCTCTGTAACCATAGCAACACTATTGCTACAACACATCATCAGTAGGGTAAAACTAACATGCCTCACAACCATCTAAACCCAGCTCGTGTTCCCTATTAGTGGAATAGCAAAGTGTTGACATGATGCGCTACTGTCTCTACAGCGCCCCCTGTGGCTCAGTATACATAATACTTCAGGACATAATGAACCTCATTTTGATCTAAAGCATTCATTCATTCATTTTGATCTAAAGCAATGTAATGAATTTAGAGTCAACACACTTCTGTATTCAGTCCCTCCGTATAGCTCCGAGCTACAGTATAGGAGGATCTTTGGGTGACGTCACTGTTTATAGTTTTTCAGTGCCGGTCACATGCCCGGGTGGCAAAACAGCATAGAAAAGTGGGGACAGATAAAGTTTTTTTTCTAATTCTTTCGGAAAAGAACAGCAAAAAACGGCTGCGGTAAAGTGGTCCGCACATTAAATGCGGATTGCCATTTTATGCTGTTACCTACTGTAAACGTAAAAAGGGAAGCAAATGTATTTAAGAAAATTAAGTTTTGCAACTACTTTCACTGCACACTTGTTCAATGTGATGATGAATTTTAAAAATTGCATTCTGGTTGCTCATCCCCGTGACTTCCTTTTCCACGTTCGCCGTAAGTAATAGCATAAAGGGGTAACCCGCTTTTAATGTGCGGACCACTTTACTGTGACGGAAAAAAACCGGGCCACTTTACCGCGGTGAAAAACGCGAGAAAAGGATTTGCGTGAAGGGCTCCGGGTTTTCAATGAAGTAAGAATAAATGTCTCGCAGCAGATTGGTGCCAAGACAGAGGTTATTCTGACCAATATTTGTCATCATGCAGGTCTTATACTGTATGGGCTTCAAATTTGTTCAGTTTGTTCTCATATACTTATTTTTAGCTTGTCTTTATATCTCCTCTGATCTTCTTGCGTTAAAAGGCTTATAGACAGTGCATTTCGCCAACTGAGTCTTTTAAAAGTAGTCGTCGCATCCATGTTCAGTATGTGCCGCTCTGTCTTTTTGCCACCCAGCGAGGGGCGCATGTGCACGCGGATGTAAACAAAGATTCTCCTATACGGAGGGACCGCCCCACATTAAGCAAATCAAAAATACCCGTTCTCTATGCCAGTGCGTTACCTGGAGTGATCTTTTTGTCGTACACCGGCTCCATGGTATTGGACTCCTCGCGTTCTGCTTTTGCATCTACACAAGACATGGAATGAGATGATGATAGTTTTTTGATAAAGCTACATGATCATCACATCACAACACTCTCGTCTGCCTATATTTAAGATAACAAAAGTATGCGTTTTCACCGCAGGAACTTCAGGGTAATTTTACAGGGCCAGCCCCATTGGTGGAAACTCATGACATCGTCTAGGGGTCCTTCTCTGCAGGAGACACGGCCACTGAGAGGGCCAAGTTAGAAGACGATTCCTGCAGATGTCCCACCCCACTCTTTTTACCAGGAACTCCTGGGGTGGAAACGCAACAATTGTTTGTTTTCATTCGGCCCCTAACACAAATGAACATACCTTCATCCGTCTATGGGAAAGAATGAATGAACAGATTGTGTTTATCTCAACCAAATCATGTTGAATTGTGTTTAGCTGAGACAAGAGGAGACACCGCGCTTTGCTCATGAGGTAGAAGACTATAGGGAAAGATGGAGGGACAAGAATTAAATTTGTTTTGTTACTGTTAATGATGTAACCGGTATAATGTGGCGTTGTAGATTATTTGATGATGTTATTTCACCTAATTTCAATCAAATATTTTGTGAAACACAATTCAAAGCTTTTTGTATCCAAACTGAAAATAATTGTCAAAACAACGGGCAACACAGTTTAACATTTGAGGGGTTCCTGACCAAAGAGCTGCTGAGCCTGAGCGTAGGTGTGGGGGAAGCCGTCCAGGACGAAGCCTTGGTTCAAACACGCTCTGGAGTTCAATTTGTCTTGCAGAAGCTGCAGTAGTTTCCTATCAGCAGAGAGGCCTGCGTCCCCTCTGATGTCCTGGGAGATCTGCTTCAGCTCCTCCGTGTCCTCACTCTCCTCCTCCTGCCTCCACACACAAACATCACATGAATATTACAGTTTTTCTTAGTCGCTTTGGTGCAGTTCTCACATCAGACTTAAAGTTCTGAAAACTATTAGTTCAACCGCTGTGACGAAAAACGGCCCTCTTTGGTATTTCAGCTGATTGACAGGTTGATTAGCCAAGTGTTTATGTTCCAGGTTTAATTGACAGCTAATTCGGGCCAATCAGAAGTTGGCCTTTTCAGACCTCGTGGTTGTTCTCCGTGTGCGTTATAAAAAAGTGAGTAGTGGTTGGACTGAAGTTACATAAATGAACCCTGATTTTCTTGTATACTGTTTATAAGGCAATTATTACATAAGTGAACTGCAGGTATATTCTTTTGGCACAGTTGAATGTATACTCCCCTTGTTTTGTGCTTTAGCTAATATGCTAACTGCTGTGTGCTACATGTTATTGGTGTGCTATTCTCGTGTACATAATGCCTGTGTTAAGTAGCTCATTCTAATTTAGACTTTCTTTCTGTTATTGCAGGACCACACACACACACATAAATACAGGGCCACGAAGATATATACAGTGCATTCTTACCGATGGTGGTCACAATCCCTATAACAAATCAGACAATACCGGTTTCCCCACAACAACCTCCACAACATTGAGTTATTGGTGCACATCATCATGGCAGTTTCTCATTCCTATGAACACTTTACAAATGCTTTTGGACATGTATCAGTTGCTTTCATACAATTCTCTGCTGTTTTATAACATAATCTCCTGTCAGTCAAAATGAAACAATATGACTTCAGAATTGTCATTCCCTATAAAACCAATAGTCCTAATTTCATCGCGTCATCACATACAACATTTTTGAACTAGTTCTCAAAATCAAAATCTGTCAAGCTAATTGTAAAGCTAAATTGTCCATGTTGAAATTGTTTATATTGCTCTGCGAGCATGAGAAATCCATTATAATGGGATTCTCTTGTCTCTCTCTGGTCTCTCTCTCCTGGTCTCTCTCTCGAGTCATAACAATATGCCAACCTCTCCCCAAGGTTATCCCGTGTCGATGAGGCATTTCAACACAGGTCTAAACACATGGGCCTGGGAAAAGGCCTCCTAACAGATCTACACACACAACAGGAAGGACTGACCGGGACTCACCCTGATCTTTTCTTGGATCACATCTTGCATCTGGATGTGCTGAAGTTGGTAAAATTCACACAGTTTTTTGGCGACGGTGGTCTTCCCCACAGCAGGAGGTCCGAGCAGCAGGATCCTGACAGGCTGCAGACACAGGAACACTGTAATTCCCTGCAGGACACTGTCTGCTCTGGAAGTTTCAGTGACAGACTCATTCATCCTTGCTGTATGAAGGAGAGGTTCCACAAGTCTTTCCTTCCTGCTGCTGTCATATTGTACAATGAGAACTGGTGAGCCTGTATTTGTCTATCATCTGTAAATAGTAAATTACTGCAATTTTATAATGTCCACTGAATGTCACTACTTATCATCCTACCCAAAATTGCCCTAGTGCCCTAAATGCCTTCTATATCAATATATATATAAAAAATATATAATATTTTATATATATAATATAATATTTTTTAATTACATTTGTAATTTTGTCCCATTTTGCAGCGACAAAGCGTGTCCTGCTGTGGTTTACTAAAGCTAAAGGTGTTTGGAGGCTACAAACAAATAATGCCCGCTTTAAAATGAAACGCAGTTAATATCCACAATAGAATAAACCAGAGGGGGAGAAAAGCCACTTGTGCCAGAGGTGAGGCTCATGGTGCAAAGACTGTAGCGGAGGGAACATCCGAGAGGGCGGCGGAGAACAGTGAGGGTGAGTCGCAAGAAATGCCCTCCACCTCTGCTAAGAGGGGAGCCCTCCTAACCTCTGCCAAGCCTTCACTTGCGTCATCATACGCAAGTAAAAATATCCATGGCTCTTTATTTGGGCTGGCAAGGACAACCCCCCCCCCCCCCACCCCCCCCCACCCCCCCCCCCCCCCCCCCCCCCCCCCCCCCCCCCCCACCACCACCACCACCCACACCCACCACACAAAACACACAACACACCACACCCAACACCACACACCCTCACCACACCACACCCCCCCACCACCCCACACACACACCACACACACCACCCCCCCCCCCCCCCCCCCCCCCCCCCCCACACCACACACACACACCACAACAAACAACAAAAAAAACAAAACAACAAAAACACAACACACAACACACAACAACACACACCCACACACACACACCCCCCACCCCCCCCCCCCCCCCCCCCCCCCCCCCCCAACACAACAAAAAAAAAAAAAAAAAACACACACACACACCTCCACACACAAAAAAAAAAAAAAAAAAAAAAAAAAAAAAAAAAAAAAAAAACAAAAACAAAAAAAAAAAAAAAAAAAAAAAAAAAAAAAAATAAAAAAAAAAAAAAAAAAAAAAAAAATAACTGGGAGTGCGCTTGGTACGCGTCGCTACTATGTTCCGATGATACAGTGCCTTGCGAAAGTATCCGGCCCCTTGAACCTTTCAACATTTCGCCACATTTCAGGCTTCAAACATCAAAACAAGATATAAAAATTAAATTTTTTGTCAAGAATCAACAACAAGTGGGACACAATCGTGAAGTGGAACGAAATTTATTGGATAATTTAAACTTTTTTAACAAATAAAAAACTGAAAAGTGGGGCGTGCAATATTATTTGGCCCCCTTGCGCTTATACTTTGTAGCGCCACCTTTTGCTGCAATTACAGCTGCAAGTCGCTTGGGGTATGTCTCTATCAGTTTTGCACATCAAGAGACTCGAATTCTTGCCCATTCTTCCTTGCAAAACAGCTCGAGCTCAGTGAGGTTGGATGGAGAGCGTTTGTGAACAGCAGTCTGCAGCTCTTTCCACAGATTCTCGATTGGATTCAGGTCTGGACTTTGACTTGGCCATTCTAACACCTGGATACGTCTATTTGTGAACCATTCCATTGTAGATTTGGCTTTATGTTTTGGATCATTGTCCTGTTGGAAGATAAATCTCCGTCCCAGTCTCAGGTCTTTTGCGGACTCCAACAGGTTTTCTTCCAGAATGCTCCTGTATTTGGCTCCATAGCCATCAATTTTAGCCATCTTCCCTGTCCCTGCTGAAGAAAAGCAGTCCCAAACCATGATGCTGCCACCACCATGTTTGACAGTGGGGATGGTGTGTTCAGGGTGATGAGCTGTGTTGCTTTTACGCCAAACATATCGTTTTGCATTGGGACCAAAAAGTTCGATTTTGGTTTCATCTGACCAGAGCACCTTCTTCCACATGTTTGGTGTGTCTCCCAGGTGGCTTGTGGCAAACTTTAAACAAGACTTTTTATGGATATCTTTGAGAAATGGCTTTCTTCTTGCCACTCTTCCATAAAGGCCAGATTTGTGCAGTGCACGACTGATTGTTGTCCTATGGACAGACTCTCCCACCTCAGCTGTAGTTATCTGCAGTTCATCCAGAGTAATCATGGGCCTCTTGGCTGCATCTCTGATCAGTCTTCTCCTTGTTTGAGATGAAAGTTTGGAGGGACGGCCAGGTCTTGGTAGATTTGCAGTGGTTTGATACTCCTTCCATTTCAATATAATTGCTTGCACAGTGCTCCTTGAGATGTTTAAAGCTTGGGAAATCTTTTTGTATCTAAATCCGGCTTTAAACTTCTCCACAACAGTATCTCAGACCTGCCTGGTGTGTTCCTTTGTCTTCATGGTTCTCTCTGCACTTTAAACAGAACCCTGAGACTATCAAAGAGCAGGTGCATTTATACTGAGACTTGATTACACACAGGTGCATTCTATTTATCATCATCAGTCATTTAGGACAACATTGGATCAGTCAAAGATCCTCACTGAACTTCTGGAGTGAGTTTGCTGCACTGAAAGTAAAGGGGCCGAATAATATTGCACGCCCCACTTTTCAGTTTTTTATTTGTTAAAAAAGTTTAAATTATCCAATAAATTTCGTTCCACTTCACGATTGTGTCCCACTTGTTGTTGATTAATGACAAAACATTTAAATTGTATATCTTTATGTTTGAAGCCTGAAATGTGGCGAAATGTTGAAAGGTTCAAGGGGGCCGAATACTTTCGCAAGGCACTGTACATGCCGTGCAGGGGCTTGTTATCTCATTATGGGCTCCCCTCAGCACCTCCTCGCATATATATACAGTATATGTTGATTTTGATATTGAAGTAATGGCAGCTAGCTAAGAAACATAGCAGATACTTACTGTATGCATGATGGTTAATGTTCTCTTGTTTTATCTTAAAATATGCTTCTGGCATGGAGAGCTTCTCACCAGCAGCTGCCTTGTCTCCTTGAACTCCTCCACAATGCTCTCCATGTTCTCCACCAGCCCAGACTCACACACCCACTGCAGGCTTAGGTTTCTGATGAGGGAAGGCTCTAGGGACAGGTTCAGCTTCAGCAGCTCCAGCTCTCTGGGCTTCAGGAAGTCAAACATGCAGACATAAGCCCCATTTCCACCTCCCTCACTAAGTCCTACTCTACTCTACTCCACTCTACTCAACATGACCCTTAATGCAGACACTGGTCACTACAAGGTCAAATCATGGCACTATAAAGTACCTGGTACCGGTTAAACAGGGCCAGTGGAAACGCTCCCAATCAGGGTAGAGTAGATTAGAGTAGGTCGGGCAGGTGGAAACAAGGCTTGCATTGTATCTTGTTTTAAACTTTTGATATATTTGCCAGGATTTCTAAAATTCACCCCTCACCTCAAAGGCCTTCATGAAGATGGCGTCCTGCTCTGTGAGTTCTTTGACTTTTCCAGGTCCCAAAGTGTCACTGATGGCCTATGAACAAACACATACTTGTCACATTTCATACAAACACACACACACACATACACATACACATACACATACACAAACACCTGTATGATTTCCTCCAGTGTGTTTCTGGACTCGTCAACCGCCAGAACGTACTTCGTCTTTGGTTTGTTCACAATCAAGTTTTGTATAATTCTGAAAAATAAATATAAGTGACATTTATATTTGTGTAAATATGTCTTTCTTTGACCAGTTTAAGAGGAGACATACGTGTGTACATGTGACCTGAGACTTTTTGACTTTAAGAATGGTATTTCGATGTAGTTTGAATGTATATTGTGAGGTCAGAAATCTCACCCTGCGAGGTCGTGGACGTGAATCATGGGGATGTTGTTGGTTCCAGGTCCAAACATCGGCACCTCTGGACTTTGCATCAACCATGAAACCTGACACACCACAAACAAAATTTTAAAGCACAGATCGTCTTGATTAGACTTTAGCATAGGTCACTGAAGACGTTCCATTAATAGCCTTTAGCATAGGAAGCTGAAGACGTTGCTTTATTAGCCTTTAGCATAGGTTAAGTGTCTTGCCCAAGGACACAACAAAAGCTGACTTCAGTGGGAGCAGATAGAGTAGGTCTCGTGGGGGGGATGCATTCACAACATTCAGACCTGAACACCAATTCTCTACCAACTGAGCCATCGTCACTCTGTTGTTATTATTTTGTATTTATTTTATTTAATAACAATAACGCATCTGTTTTATATAGTGCTTTTCTGGATGCTCAAAGATGCTTCATATGTCATTATTCATTCACTCCAAACATGGTGGTGATAAACTAATAACCTGGGGCAGTGAGGCAACCAGTGTGTGCCCGCCACCACCAACCATTCACACACACACACCAGACTCATTCTAATGTGGGTGAAGTGTCCTGCCCAAGGACACAACAACAGTTTGGCCCTTTACAGCTGCCCCACTGTGGCACCTGTTGTTCCTAGAGGTCTCCAATCACAGTACTAACCAGGCCCTGCCCTGCTTAGCGGCATTCACCTTGAAGAAGTAGTGGAAGATGTTTTCTCCCTGTCCGTACTGCAGCCCACTGGAGACCACGTAGGCTGGAAGTCTGGTCTTCTTCTGCGACACAAGTGGAGGCGGTGAGAACAGGAGACAGGAAACAGATAGTAAGAAACATCTATTATGATAACAGTCTCGAACACACAGTGCGTGCCAGCTTCAGCACCAGCTTTTCCAGCTCATAGTGGGCTCTGAACCAGGGATGTGGACGCCTCCTTCTGAATTCCTCCTCAGACAGAGACTCCTCCGGCTCCTCCTGCAAACAGCAGCATGTACAGAGTGTCACAAGGCTGCATACTTGTATAAAAGAGCCCCGTGAGTCACTTTTGGACTGGGCTGAGAGTGATCGTCTCTTTTTATGTCTGAAAAAGCTGATCTAAAGATGTGACAGAAGCCAAAAACACATGCATTTAAAGTTTACTGTGGGTTGAAAGCTTGAACAGTAAGTTCACCTTGGAGAGACCCATGAGGAAAATGCCGTTAGACTTATTAGATTTAAGCATGTTTATTGATTGAGCATGTTTGGCGCCCTAGGCCCGGGAGGGATGCTGTTGAGCACGGCGCTTGCTCGCGTGCATAATCCCCCCCGGGGCCTAGGCACTGGTGGCGGCAGAGGCAGTAGGCAAGCACGCTTTGGTGAGAAAAGGAGGAGGTGGGGCGGCGGAGGCTTGCAGACTTCAGAAGGCCGGGAAGTGGGCGTCTCCGGCTTTTAACTTGCTGTCCTGGTGGTTATTGGTTGGCTGGATGTGGGCGTTGCTGGTCTGATGAGCCGAGGATGAGCAGCCTGTAGATCTGGGCAAGCAGCAGCCGGGTCTACCACAGTGAACTTTCGCAAAAGCTCCATTTTCATTTACCCTGGACTGTAACACATCAGCATGTTTTTGTCTGTGAAGTCCATATGTTTCAATCACAAATGAATGGTTTAGCTAATCAGTCACATTAAAATGTAATGAGAAACCAAACTGGCAGAATATCACATTGATTACCTGATAGTTAGTTGTGTTGTCTGCAATAATGATATCATTGCAGTATTTGGTAAAGAAAGAACAACATCTAAAGTTAAAATGAATCATAGTAATGAACCGGTTTTCTGATTACAGACAATATATTCTTAGATTAAAAGGATGAAAACTGTGTAGTGGTTTAATTTAAAAAACTCTCACCAAAAGCCGAAAGTAAAGTTAAGAGAGTGCTTTTTATTAATTTAGATTCAGCATGAGGAAAACCGTTAGTCAGCATGGAGTCCGTGCACAATACTGGCTCGGCTTCTCTTTCTCCTGTCTGATAAACTCTTCGTCCTGTTCCATACATGGAAGTCTTGGCAGTGGCCGGATAACTAAAAGGAAACCAGATGTTTCCTAATGACTTGTTCCCAAATATGTTTTGCCTCATTCCTTCTGGATGAACTTGACATCTAGTGTTTGGCTCTTCCTAACACAGTGCAGAGAACATTCCACTGCACTTAAGAAATAATAATAATAGTCAAACATTCTACCACAACTGCATTCTTCATTACAGTATTTTTACATTTGGGACAAACCTTTTTTGAATCTAATAAAAGGAAGAATAATTGAATCCCTGATAAACTACTGAAGCCCCTCTCTCCATTGGTCAAACTATTCTCCTCCAAACAGACCATCCTGTAATCTATTTACAATTAAAAATACGCAATAATAAACGATAGTAAAGGGTCAGATGGTCAAAAATATAATAAATCAAATGCAATTAGGAGACATCACCTTTAATGAATTTGGAAAATAAAAATCTTTACCGGATTGTGTGGTTTGGTCATGGCCCACGTCATCACTGAAGATAATAAGATGAACATTTTCCTCAACTTGAAGTTTGCCATTTCTTCATGAAGAGCTGTTTACAGTTAGAACACATTAGAAAGCATTGCAGAAACTGAAGAGCATAATGGGGAGGCTCATAGCGTGATCTCTCTCTCTCAATATGAGTCTCCCCGACATTCCATTGATTTGTTTTTAGTTGAGGCCGTCATGTCCAATTGGCCCGTGGGCAATTGTTCAATTTAGGAAAGATTTTCAGGAAATAAAATAAAGAAATGTATGAAATTAGGTTGACAGATTTTGGTTTTGAGAACTAGTTCAACAATTTTGTATGTGTTCTCAAGCAATGAAATTAGGACTATTGGTTTTATAGGGAATTACTTTTCAGAAGTCATAAGTTTGTTTCATTTTCATTGAAATGACAAAAGCAAATGGTAATGGTATAAAACAGCAGTGAATTGTATGAAAGCAACTGATAGATGTCCAAAAGCATTTGAAATGTGTTCATATGAATGAGAAACTGCTACGATGATGTGCACTTATGACCCAATGTTGTGGACGTTGAACTAATAGTTTTGAGACCTTTAAGTCTGATGTGAGAAGTGTCCCAAAGCGACTGAGAAAAACATACGACTTTGTACCAACAGAACACACAAAATAAACTTCAGTCCACTTTTATGAATGCCGAAAGATTTTTTCCCGTGGCAGGCGAGTAACAGTTAGGCTAGCAACTTCCAAACTAGAACTCTCTGGAACTACATGAAAACTGAACAAAGAATTCTGAACATCAGCGGTGAGTTACACATACATAAACTCAACCTAAATCCATAAACTGATCCTCTGCAAATGTGTCCTAAATTACTAATGTTAATGGTAACTTTCGGGGGTACGGCCATCGCTTTTTATTGCATTAAAACAGTATTTTTGTCATGAAAACGTTAACAGATAATTCTGAAAACCTCTGTGCATGTGTGTTAAGGATGTATATGTATAATGTATTCTCCAATTAACATTTGAATATTTGTGTCTATTCAGTGTGGCTAGCTCCGATTCTCTCACAGAGACAGTGGTAGTGGCGTAGCCCATTGACAAAGTGGCCGGACTATTTGCGGAGTAATCTACACACCTGCATTACATTACAAGCAGAGATTTGTTGACATGGGCAGCCGCCATTATTGGTTTGAGAGTTCTGTTATCAAGAAATAATGACCGGTAGAACGTTTTGAAATTACATTCAAATCAATGGAGCGTTTTACTGCTGCTGTGAGGAGCCGTATAATATATACAAATATATAATATATATATTTCTAAACCTCATTTATACCTGTAACGGCCCATGTGGCTTCGTCTATCGCTTGCATCGTGGCGTTTTCTGAAATATTGTACAAAATTACATCACACTCCAGGAGGCGGTCTAGAAGCTCCTCACGAGATGGAGACTGGGAGAAATCACATAATATATATATTTTTTTTAACAAATTATACGTCTCAATCTCATTGAAATTTTAATGTTGTGCACCCCACTCTCACCACGTAGCATTGGAACACAGAGCTGAGGTTTTTCGAAGGCGATGACGCAGTCCCCACCACCTGGAACGCTGCTTCACCTCCGGATGCAGCTCCTTCTTCCACCTCGTCCACATCAGTCAGACATGTGGATAAATACTGCTCAAAAGCAGTAAGCAGTAAGCAGTCATTCAGCAAATAAAGACAATAAAACCAATACTAAGTGTCTGTACGTGGCTCAAATATTAATAGGACAATCATTTAATTGAGTATCTAGGATTATGATACAAATCAATGCCTCTTGATGAAAAACAAAACAGCTTTAATTGACATATAATAGAGACCGTTTACAGACCAGTTAACCATGACTCATTTGATTCGTTGCTAAACGAGCTAAAGGCTTTCTACAGTTCTAAACATATCTTGTTTATTCTTCTAAAAAAACGGCATTTAAATAGTATCTCATAGAACTGCTTCAGTATATAGAAAATATGTACTCCATTTCTAATTTTAAAGCTGTGAAAATCCAGGAATCCTTAAAATTATTTTAGTTTTCAACTACCATTCATTGACTATTATTCTCATACATATGACTTTATGAATTATATAGATATTAGATAGATATTTTATTAATCCCCCCCGTAGAGAAATAAAGATGTCTAGTAGCAGCAGAATCACATCCATCCAAACAAAACAAATGAATAAATATTACCCTAACATTGCTTTTTTTTCATGCATCATTGTGAAACTGTGTAAGTTGAACAATAACAAACAACTGTGCAACAAAAGCAAGTTGGAGCCAATGTAAGAGGGAGAAGTGTTGCTAGTATGAGCTAGAAGAGTTTACTCTTACATTTAGGTCATGTGCTAGATCAGTGGTTCCCAAAGACCCCCGAGATGATTTCCATAAAATACATATTTTTTAAATGGAACAAATATATAGCCCCCTAACTATTCTTGTTGCAATTGATTTGATTCAAGATGACTACTTGTTAAATTGTGTTTGGAGAAAAGTTTGATAAAGTGGGCCTTTGTTTGACCTGGGCCTGTGCTGAACAAAATATATGTATATATTTTGTTTGCAGTGCATTGCTTGTGTACAATCATAAAAAAATATAAAAAAATCAACAAAAGGGTATATTGAAAAAATAAGCTTTGTTTCATGTGTGCGGGACCAGTAGACATAAACCCCACGTGTTTTGAAATCAAAAGGTCTAAAGGGCAAAGGGCTAAATAGATTTAAGGGAATTTTGAATAGCAAAAAAAATCATAAAAAGTCAACCAAAGGGTATATTGAAAAGATAAACTTTGTTTCATGTGTGAGGGACCAGTAGGCATAAACCCAACGTGTTTGAAATCAAAAGGTCAAAGGGCAAAGGGCTAATTTTTTTTGAATGTGTCGAATATCCAATATACTTTACCGAAGTGGGGGTTTTCTTCATCCACCTCTTTTCAATCTTATGTTGATTTTTGCGATGATGATGATTGGGCAAGTTTGAAATAAATATTATCTAACCTATCTATCTAACGCTAAGCTATCTAACAAGCTAGCATCCGTTTTACCTGCGCGACGTGTTTAGAAGAAAACAAGTCCACGTCGTTCACAAAGACACGCTTTGCCCGCCGGATGTCAGTCATTTGTGATCTCACACGACACTCAAACTACTCAAAAGAGTAAAACTAGCGAGTGCAAAGTACTGCTGCTTCTGCAAAGTTGTGGAAAAGTGAGTAAAAAGGTATCCGTTGTTAGGGGCGCGCGCTGGTTACTATGCAGAGCTAGAAGTATCCGGATTATGTTGCCATGGAGACGCGGCGGGCATCTTGTGATTGTGCGTGAAGCCGCGGTCGGACATGATATAATGAAATCCTGCCACCTCCTGGAACCAATTTGACACATGGATCTAATATAGATGGACAACAAATAACCGCTAGCTCCATAAAGCCCAGTAGGGAAGTGCTCATGAATGAAGTTTTGCTCCAACTCACTCTGGTTCCTATGATACATTGTATGTAAACTCCTTTAGCTCAGTAATCTCTGTAGCTCAGTATTTGATATTGATATTGATATTGTCTAGAGAATTCCAGTTATGAGACATATACGATCAGATGCCTTCATTCGTGGAGGAAACTCCACCTTGCCTTGGCAAACGTATTTTGTCTTATGTGTTATGCATTTTGCTCTCAATTTTTTTTTCTTTATTAGTCATTTTGTGTAATTTTGAGGACCCCAAATAAGACACTGCATATGTATGGTTTATTTCTGAGAAGGACTTTAGAAGAGTATCATCAATGATATTTCAAATACAATGCACATTTAAATGTATAATTATGTATAGTTATTATTGCAAAATGTATCTTTTGAATGTTGGAAGTGAATGATTGTCAGGAGGCCCCTGACTCTGTGGAGGAGGTAAGGGACAGAAGGGTGCGGATTACTTTTCAATGCACTGTTGCTGCAGTACATTATTCATGGTTTCACACTGGTCCAGACCGGAGCAGAGAGGATTCACCATGGTCCGAACCAAGCAGATCAGGTGAAAATCCACTGGAGGAATGCTAACTTTTTTTTAAAGAAAGTAAGTAAGTAATTTTTATTTATATAGCGCATTTTACATTTTACCCAGAGCTCTATACAATGTTCAGAGTTCAGATATTGTTCCAATCATTCCACACACGGTGACAATGTTTTTGAACATTCACACTGCAGAGCAGCAAGCGCAGTAATAAGCCCTGTTAAAAAAGACAACAAAGAGACAGTTTGGAAGACCTAAAGATTCACTCTTTCTTTTCTGTCATAGATAAGCTATTGATGGAAATAAAACGCAGCTTTTCAACAGAGACAAATCGTGTTCTGAGAGGGGTGCCAGCTTTGAGCCTGAAGCACGCATCAATTCTTGTCAAGGAGCGCATTCTGCCCATGGAGTCATGGAGGAAAATTTGTGTGCCGAACTTGATCAAGTTTGCTGGTTACTGAAGAGAAAAGAAGAACAGGCCCATCATATCTCTGGTCTCTCTGGACTGTCTCTGACCTCTGTTGTATCTCTCTCTGGTTTATCTCTGATTTCTCTCTGATCTCTATCTGGCCTCTCTCTTGTCTTTGGTTTTAGCTGTCTTTCTGGTTTCTGTCTTGGTCTCTTTGGTGATCTTCTAAGTGGACCCAGGTTTTTGTTTCCGATTTGCATGTGTTTTCCTTTTTTTTAGTGAATCTTTGGTGAAAACTGTCTCCTGGCTCGAGCAGGGTTGTTCTAGTATCTTTTACGTTCATTTTAAGATGCTCTGAGGATTTTTGTAGAGAAGGACTCTGCAAGCTCCCCTTTTCAGAGGCCTCCTCTCACCACTTTGGCGGGCTTCTCTTGACGTGGAGGGAGAGTGGCTCTACCCCAAGCTCCTCCTGTGTGACTGAGCTCCTCACACCATCTTTAAGGACTTTCTAAGCCACACTGTAGAGGAAACTCAAGTCAAGTTGAGGGCAGTAGATGGTGAGGCTTAAACAGCTGTTGTTCCTCTTCACCCTTTAAGACTGTAAAATAGGAGTGGACTGATCGGGTGTGACTCACCATATAGTGTTAGCCTTAATATGGAAGAAGCAGATTTGAATATAAGCTGGAGCCAATTTCCTTAGGATTTTATTAATTTCACAATGGAGAAACTCACCATTGCATAGCTCTTATACAAACGCCTAACATAGTAAAAGCATTTATGTGGTGGTGAGTGCTGCACACAGTCTATGGTTTCAGTCCAACTACTTTTGGAGAAACTTATACCAATATACACCAATGTTAGAATTATCTTTTTATATATGACCATTCCTTTCTAATACTGTGTTCCATGCTGGTCCTATCACATGTTATGAAGTACATTTACGTAGGTAGTAGAGCTATACAGATAATGGGCAATTGCACATCGCCTCTGGACGGCGTAACAACTGTTAGCCGTTTAAAACAAGTGGAAAGAAAGTGGAAAAAATAACCATATCACACCATCACAACCATGAGCCCGAAGCCACGCACGGAGCAACGTGACGGCCATGCAAATTAAGTCTAACCAAAGCGCGCTCTCATAGGATACTCAATCCGTCAATTTGATTTAAACCCGCCCTTTTCACGCTCCTATTGGCTTTTGAGCCCTTTCACTTAAAACACACCGCTTTGATTGGTGTGAGTCACATTTAAAACCCACAGTTTCACCAAAACATGATGTGAGAGACGCTATTAGTTGAAACACACTCAGTCCTATATTCTCTACGCTGATTGGCCGTGGTAGGAGGAAGAGGAAACCGAGCACACCCGGAACTGTCAGAGTCAAAGTTGCCAAATCTGAATCTTTGTAGCGACTTTGAGCTTTTGTTTTTGAAAAATGAGGAGTTTAAAATTACATTGTTGCAGAGCGCAGACCAAGAATATTCTGGAGTAAATATAATTCTAGAATCAACACAATCAAGTGAATACTGCAATCATTGAAGTTATTTACAAAGAAAATACCGGGATGATGTCTTTTGATTTAAGTCGAAGATTTTGTCAAAGGAGCAAGTATCTCTGGTCTCTCTCTGATCTCTTTGTTCTCTGGTATCTCACTGGGGTCTGTATGGGCTCTTTCTGAACCCTCTCTGATCTCTCTCTCAGTATCCAGGGCTGAGTTCTGTAAATCTAGGACTGAGGCAGGAGATCAAGGACTGAATTCTGTAGGTCCAAGACTGAGGATGTAGATCCAGGACTGAGGCTGTGTGGCGCAGGACTGAGGCGGCTCCGAGCCAGTACAGTCCTTGAGGCAGGGAAGACAGGTGCAGATGAAAGAGGCCAGATTCAGGGGTCTGTCACGCTATGAAACATGAAACAGGCAATGAAACATGAAACAGGCGGGTAAATAGCAATGAACAGACTACAGCTAAAGTCATAATGTTGACAGATAAAGCAGGAAGAGGACAGTGCCGTGACAAAACTTCACCTCCAGCAGGGGTTTCCGTATGCCGTGTCACTGGCAATCTGTTTTTGTTTGTTTTGGTCTGTTGTTGTTACAATATACACATATGTGTATAACCTCATAACCAAGAGTGATTATAGCTCCATGGTTTTTGTTTTAATTCTATTTTATCACCTTATTACTTGTTGTTGTAAATGATACATCCTGTTTGATTTGTACAAATAAGTGCTCTTATTTCCTACGTTTTATTCTGCTGTAATGTGCGCAACGATGACATTGAAATTAATCTGATCTTAACTTATTCCCGAAGGGTCGGCAGCGGGTTGCTTCATGTAAACCTGGCAACCCGGTGTCTCTGTCAGCTGCGAAGCGAGACATCTGCGTTTGTTATTCAAATTTCGCCACAAAAACAAAATAATTTCTTCAAACTGCGCCAAACACGCCGTATCCCTCACGTACATGCTTGACTATCACCCGGACACATTCACACTGAAATATCAGCAGTTTAGTCCCGTTTATCACGTGTCCTGAGTGATACTTGAACCATATTGTCTCTTTACACTGAGCTAAACCCGTGTTCCGCAAGCGATGAGCGCAGATCTGTTGTCGGATTTGGACTCCAGATTCTTTGCGGATAACCTCCTGACAAGCGAGGACTGGGGTGAGTTCGATTTGATTTGCTTCAGTTGGAAAATGTAAAGATAAAGTTGTGTATTTTGCGCTAACCGCGGGATGCTAACATGCTAACATGCTAAGGGAACAGCCTGTCGCGTCCCTCCCCCCGTGCTCACAGCTGTGGATGGAGATGGACATAAAACAACATATTAACACTCATCTAAATGTGCTGTGTGACTTGGGGATAGGGAAGAGTTTTTCTACTATCTTAAAATGCTAATGTTTTCTGTGACATATGGCCACTGTCAAATATCCGCTCTCTCGTTGGTCCCTTTCTGGTCTCTCTCTCTGGTCTCTCTCTCTGGTCTCTCTCTCTGGTCTCTCTCTCTGATCTCTCTCTCTTATCTCTCTCTTTGGTCTCTCTCTCTGGTCTCTCTCTCTGGTCTCTCTCTCTGGTCTCTCTCTCTGATCTCTCTCTCTGATCTCTCTCTCTTATCTCTCTCTTTGGTCTCTCTCTCTGGTCTCTCTCTCTGGTCTCTCTCTCTGATCTCTCTCTCTGATCTCTCTCTCTTATCTCTCTCTTTGGTCTCTCTCTCTGGTCTCTCTCTGATCTTTTGTGGTCTCATCAGCTCTCTCTCTCTGGTGTCTTAGTCAATGGAAAAAGTATCTTTCATCTTGTTGCCTCAATTGATTAATTTCTACGACTTAAAACAATGTGAGACTCTTTGATGTTGGTTATTATGTTAATATGTTATGTATTGTGTGACATGTGGCCGCAGTATCCTGGCAAACCCGGATGTCCGTTAAAGTTTAACTCAACGTGATCACGCCTCAGCTGATTAAAGCTGAGGTAGGTAACTTTGACCATAAATATTGCTTTTGTTTTTCCAATAGAAAGTAAAATGTTGTGAACAATTAGACCAGAACATAACAGAACACTTTTTTTATAAGGAGCTGTGGTCTTCTCTCTTTTTCACTTTTCTTGTAAAATGGGTTTTTTATTACATAACTCTGGTCTGAAAGATGCAAACCCGAATTTGACTGTTGATACCAGCAGTATTTGTTAGTATGGAAGCCCGTTTCCGCCATGTAAAAAAAAAAAGCCCACAGAATTTTGAGTTTTAAACACAAAATTACAACTTTAAAAGTCAAAATTACGAGTTTAAAACTCGAAAGAAAAAAGCCCATGTGCAGTTGTTGCCGTGTATGTATTGCTGTCTGGAAAAGTCTCTGAACATCCTTTGCCTGCAAGGTTATATTTAAGATATTGTTGCTTTGAGGCATAGACTGTAAATATTCATTACATTTCTAAGTAGAGGTGCACCGATCAGGATTTTTTTGGCCGATCATTAAAATTTTGATCGGCCGATAGCGATCATGGCCGATCCGATCAATTATTGAAAATATTAGTGATAAATGAATATGACTAGTTATTCACTTTGTAACTAATCTTTCAAAACTATCAAGGTACTACGTAGTATAAATAAAATGCCCTAGGGGTACTAAAAAAGGTTGGGAACCACAAGTATACGTTACAGAGCATTGAGATACATAAAACAAAAAAATGCAATGAAACGGCAATACTGTATATGCTGCATTTCTAAACTGATTAAAAAGAGATAGTTAAGGCAATATTTTTTCTTCCGGAATATTGGCATCTCAGCATTTGCAGGGGTTTATTACGTTAATCATTGTAGTTCTCCAGCGCAGAACTACAGCGCTAACGCGCTAACCGCGGGTCTATGGTGTTGAGCAGTCATTTTGAAGCTAACCTAATGCTAACAGTCTCCCTCTGGCCTGATGCTCGCTCTCACAGTTGGTGCTGTTGCAATAACACTTCAAACGTTCAAGAATCAGACTTTATTTAAATCGCCAGAACACACACACACACGCACGCAGGCTCCGGTCGCTATGTTCGTACGCCATGTTCGTACGCCACATCTTTCACGCTCTCTCACGCTCGTTATTCCAAAGCGCACTCCCGTGTCCGTGGCGCGCACACACTCGTGTCCCACTGAGCCGCTGCACTTTGGGGAAAGACACGTCTCACACATTGCTCTCATTGCTCTGATACAAACAACGTGTTCCCCGCTGTCTGTTAGCTACAGTAGCTGCTACAGTAGCTGTTAGCTACAGTAGCTGCTACAGTAGCTGTTAGCTACAGCATCAGAATGTAAACAGGAAGCTCGCACAATGCGGGAGTCACTGAAGTTAGTATTAGCGCCACCAGCTGGACCGAGCGTTGTACTACAGCACAGTTACTCAGGCACAGTTGAAAGAACAAGCATGAAAACCCGAGGAGGCTTTTGGAAAAGACTGTCTGTTACAACATTTCTATTTTGAGTAATCAGTTTTAAAAATGTGATATTTCATGTAAATAATGCATGTGTTTAATAGGATTGATATATTTGCGATGGGCCTTGTTTGTGTGATTTAAGTTATTTTGAAGGTGCATAGTGTCATTGTAAGTGAAGTTATTATAAAACTGTAAAGCTACATTTTCACTGTTTACAATGGCAGAGCCATCTCGTTTACAAGCATGTTTTAAGGCTTAATTCCTGTTACACTTATGCTCCATGGGGATTTAGATTAAACTGCATAAAGGAAAATCTATTTCTTTGTCAGTTGTCGTTTGTTTTTAAATAGAAAAAAAAAAATCGATTAAAATCGAAAATCGGATTTGGTGTGAAAAAATCGGAGATTTTTTTTTTTTGCCATATCGCCCAGCCCTACTTTTGTGCACATTTCGTGTTGTTTCTTACGTCATTACTGTAAGGTTGATGCCGCTGTAGAATCTCCGTTACTGATAGCTGCATGAGTTGCTTGTTTACGCAATTTTGACGAGAGAAAGTAACTTGTGCGCATGAATCCTCATGTCATCTGATCGGTCTTTGTGATCGGCACATTTCACCGATCACGCAAATTAAGCCGTGATCAGCCGATTATAATCTGCTACCGATTGATTGTTGCACTTCTATTTCTAAGTTCATGTGTGGGATTTAATATTTAAGATGGCTAATGCATATAAGTACATTCATTCATATACATTCATGTTTACATTTGTGGAGCTATCAGTTGTAGAGGTAACACTAGCTAACAGCCCAGTACGTTTTATATTCATTTTATTTATCTACACTTTAGAATGATAACAACAAATGAACAGTTTGTCCCCAGTCTTTATGTTTAAACCTGTTTTACTTGCGGTTATAAAGTTCATCCACTTGGTGCCACTGTGTTGTAGGGGGAAGGGAACGTTTGTACAGGTATCCGATCTCAAGTCAGAAGAAGTTTGTTTACCTACACTACCTAGAGCTGGAAATATCATTACATATTTACAAGAAATCCTAGTGATTTATAGATACTATTAATAGTATCTATTTTATTATTTTTATATTGTGCTTTTGTTGCGGCAGAAACTGCACATGTGCTGTTTAAAACTCAAAATTATGACTTTAAATCTCGAAACTACAACTTTAAAAGTCATTATTTTGACTTGTAAACTCATAATTTTGAGTTTAAAACTCAAAATGATTTTCTGTATGCTTTTTTTTTTTTTACATGGGGGAAACGGGCTTTAGGTAAGTATGTGATCTAAATAGTGATGTCAAAGGCTAATTTATACCCAAAAAGATTTTACTATATTTTAAATTTGTTTGTAGGCCAATTTAAGACTTATGCAATGTTGTTGTGCAAATCCAGGCCGTAAAGTGGTGTACACAACCACGCCGTAAAGTGGTGTACACAACCACGCCGTAAAGTGGTTACACCTTGGGCTTAAAAAAATAAAAAATCTAAAGATGTGTCCAAATGAGAAATGTTGTTTTGTCTAATTGAGATATGCAGACAATTATTTATAAATGAATTGAATAAAAGGTATTTAATAGAAAAGTGTAGGATATTCAGGCCTATTTTCTCTGAAGCCAAAGCAGAGAGTGTAGAGAACACCGCGGCCAGACTGAAACAGGAAGCTGTGCTCTGTGAAAAAATGTGGATGTGTGCGTCTGGTTGTTGCTAAGCGTCGCCTAAACAGTAGAATTGAAGTCAGTGTTTCCCACAGGATTGGAATCAATGTGTGGGGGCCCCCTCTGCCGGGGGGAACTTTAATTCATTAAATTTAACACCTTACACAAAACTGTTGGAACTTTAGAACAGATGTACAAAATTCACACCCTACGCTACAGCCCACCGCTAAGTCAGCACCTTTTATCAGGGCACCTGATTTTACGGGGCTTGCTAGAAAACGATTCGAATTCCCTATCATACGGAAAAGCCTCAGGACAAGGTTCCATTGCTAGAGATCCTCAGGCAAGCTGCCAGGTGTTCTCCTTGGAGTTTATTCCCGAGGTCTATTTTTTATTTTTACCTGAAGATAAAGCAAAATGTAAAAAAATGCACCATTATACAATTTGGAATTTCAATGTATTGCTATTACCCTGTTCATTGTTGTTGTAACATCTGTTTGTCTATCTCACCTGTTGCTTCAGCTGGCTCTCACAGCATCATGTTGGACACTGTTCTCCCCTCCTACTCTTTCGTCAATGTCTAAATATATTTCTTTCTCTCCCTGACCTTGTCTTTGGTCAGGCACTGGTTGAAGCATGAAAGTATTATAAACAAATTAATAACATAACTAATTACACTGGTCGGACTGTTCAGCTCTGTTTCAGACTGATACTTCCTCAGGCTGGTCCTCATCCTCAACACGTGCCTTTTACATCGTGGAAAAAACTTCTGGATTGAAGCAGCAAACATTCAGTGTACGAGTAAAAAAAACGACATAACATTATTTACAATACCTTTATTTGATTCAAAGCTGCTATATATGGTGTTTTACCGCAAACTTGCGACACTAATTCATCCTTTGGTTTTCTTTAAATCCACACTTCACTGCCTCAAACTCTGCTCCTTTCCTTTCCGCTCTGACTCCGCTCTATCGATTCTCTGATCTGCAGCTCTGATTGGTCAAAGCGTGGCGGAGCCCCTCTGTGCGCATGCATGAGAGCCACACACGCGTATTTGGCGCAACGCATCATGGGAGATAATCCA